GGAAACAGGTATCGTATTTATACTTTTGCACAGGCTTGAATTTTCTTTTTGTTTTCCTTGTGCTGTTCAACATTGCACCACCTCACCTGCACTGATGTGTTCATTCGCTAATTTGCGGTCTATTTGCATGATTATCATATTGTCACTCACATCGCTGGAGTTTAATTTGCTTTATTTTTGTGGTAGGAATAAAATAAATTGCTCCACTAACCAGAAAACAGAATGGGGAGAGGCACCCTTTAAAAAATACACTTAATGCAACACGCAAGTCACAAGCCATGATGAAAAACTACGTGGACACCAACACCAGTAGACCCTCTGGAAGTTAAAGGTCTGTGGGAAATCAGCCACATTTTGAGTTTGCCTCATTCTGTTTTCGTTCAAAGCATGTTTTTCTACATATACAAGGTATTTCTTACTAGAGGATTTTGGGTGCCTGTCAATCAAGGAAATTTTGTAAATCAGGAGAAAACAAGAGAAACTTTATTCACAGATGATTCAGTCTCCAGTATTATTTGGTATTATTGATACCATTTTGTAAAGATGCTGGAATCAACTAATTCCTGTTGAAAGTAACTGATTGCTTTCAAATTTTCATTACTTTTCACTTCATAGAAAAAAAAATCTACTCTTTAAAAAAAAAAAAACCCTGAACTTTATAACATAGGAAGAGACTAAACACGTAACTTTAAGTATTTTGCAACCGGATTATGGATCAGCCAAGCTCACCAGGTTAGAGAGACTGGAGCAGCCTCTGGGGGGATCTTCCTGGAAATTCGCTCTCTGTCCAAAGCCGACTCCAGCTTAAGCACAGCTGACATACGCAATTTATCAAGTCGCTCCATTGCCCCTGGCATTTTCTACAAAATCAGGTAAGTAGGTTTTGATTTCCATCTTCATAGTCACAAAATTTAAAATCACATCTAAAAAAACAGGAGGTTCTCAGGACCATTACTTTTCTTGAATAGCAAATAGAAAAACTGCTAAAATGTGTAATTTTTCATTAAATTTGGGGATAGTATTAAAGATTCATATGAACAGTTCTCATGAACAGTTCTCATATGAACTGTTCACATAAATTTATACTTCAGGCTTTTATGCTTGTAACTATGATAGCTGCCCACTCCCCCTCTCCCTCCCAAAAAGCAGGGCTGATTTCTTATGAAAAGGCTTTTTGTAGGTTGAGATCTAGAGAAACGGACATTATTCAGCAACTTTATTATCATCGATTTTAGCTTTCCTTTTTTCATTCTATGAGCCTTCCTGGGCTGAGACTGACACTCACTCTTGCTCCTGTAACCAAGCTGGAATTTCTTAAAGATTCCACTTCTTTGTTCTCTTCTAAGATCATGTCTTGAGCATCCTTTTCATCCTTGATGCTAGAATATAGAAAGTAAAAGACAGATGTAAAATGCAAAGATGGGAAAAAATAAATCAACCTAAAGAAAGATAAAGGAAAGATATATGACACCAATCTTAGCATAAGGCTATTTAAGGAGTCATAAAAAAATAATTTACAAACAACAGAAAAGAGTGTAAATCTAGAGATGCTACCAAAATATATACCTGGGTTTTCACAATGCTCTTGGAAGATGTGCAGTGGCTGGCTAGATTTAAGGCACATTGGGTGGAAGTAGGCAACTTCCTAGGTTCAGATATTGTAGTTGAGGAAATCATTATTTCAAGGAAAAGACAGTTTTATTGACTTAAGAAAAGTCACTATTCCAAAA